GGGCGCTGGCACGTGCCAGAGCACAGCTTTCCCAGCTGTGACAGCACTGCAACTACCATTGTTGTTGTAAAACACCCAGTCCCTTTCTCTAATGCTTTCTAATCCCAGACCATTTTAAACTCCATGCACAAGTACCAGCCCCGGTTCCACATCGTTCGAGCCAACGATATTCTCAAGCTTCCCTATAGCACGTTCAGGACCTACGTTTTCCCGGAGACTGAATTCATCGCAGTGACCGCATACCAGAATGATAAGGTAAGGAGATTAAGAAAGGATTTGTTTTACGTGTTTTGGCTTTTAAGAGAGCTTTTACTCTGCATTGTTCCCTTAAAAAAAAAAAAAAAAATCACGAAGCCCATCCCGCTCCTCTCCCTCTCCCCCTCGTCTGTCCCCCAAAACCTCCTTGATCCAACTTCGGGAAGGCGCCGGGGGAGGGGGTCGGGCGCTCTCCTAATACCGACCTCGGGGAAGGCAATTAAAAGGGAGGTCGAGGGGAGGTGTGGGTGCTGTTTAGGGTGTTTTTTTCACTCCCCGGTGTGGGGAAACGGGGTAGGATGGGGTGGGGATCGCTGCTCTCAGTGTGGATTTAATCTAAGACGCATCAGGCGGGAAAAAAAAAAAAAAGGAAAAAAAAAAAAATCGTCTCCGTGTGTCGAAAGACAGAGGGGGGAGAGCAGCGGGGCTGGAGATTTTGTAATTCTTCCTGGCCTTTGTGCTGTTTTAGCTCCTTTAACAGCAATTGGCAATAAGGCTGGAGCGCACGTCTGGTTCCTATTATTATTATATTATGATATTTTTTTTTTTTGCATCCTGCAGTGTTTTATTATTTTTTGTGGTGCAGAAATATGCTCTGATCAGAGAGGGGTATCTCACTTGAGTTTAGCTGGAAGGTCTGAAAGAGCCAGTGTGAGAAAGTTTTGCAGCGCTGCAGACGCTGCCCTTCCATTTCTGCTGGTTTATTGTCGCTTGCGACGAAGGTGGTATATTTGGGAGAGTGGCAAATGGTGAATTTACGATAATTAAGTCAAGTGGAAGGAAGCGAAGGAGCCAAAAAAGGGACTTTGATTTCTTTTTTTCTTCCTGTCTATAAATTAGAACTTTGCGTGCGTGTGCGTTAAGTGCAGAGGGGTCTGGATGTGCAGCGCCCACTCGCTGCAGCTTCCCCGTCCCTCTCTCTGCCCCCCTCGCATCCTTCCCTATTAAAAATTAAGGGGTGAAGGGGTGTGTGAGGGGGTGTGTGTCTGCACCCCTCGGTTTCCAAAAAGTCACTTCTCCCTCGGGGCTCGGGCTCTTTTTCCCCTCTTTCTGCGGCCGGGCGGCTTGCGAGGAAACGGAAAGAAAACGCGTGTACAGAGAGTAGACTTTGCTTTGGGACTTGATCAGCAGGGCTGGTGGCCCCGGTCTATCAGCTGAGGCCGGCTTGGTTGAAGGACAGAAATGAGCATATTTGTGTGATTGCCATGAAATCGGCTGGAAAGCGGCGTGCGGGAGCAGCGGGGAGCCCTGGGCTCCGGCGCTGTGGGAACTGCCTTGCCGGCAGGTCAGAAGGCACGGCCGGAATCACCTGGATTAAAAGTCCTGCTGGTTTTTAGCAGTGGGTTTTCCTGCTCTTTCCTGATCCCGCGTGTGCGGTGCGGGGGCGGAGGAAGTAGGGGGGTAACTCGGGAGCCGGGGCCGGTCCTGCCCCGCACTCAGCCGCAGGCAGGGGTTTGCTTTTTGGGGTCCAGCTCCCCTCTCAAACTGGTGGGTTGCGGCGTTTGCAGGACCAGATGTGGAGGGGGAAGGCGGGCAGGCGACATCCCTGTCCCCTCCGCCCGTATCCCGTTATAGCCAGGGGAGACCCCGGCTGGGCTTTTCCGCGCATGGTACGCGCAGGCACGGGGAGTTGCGGGGTGCTCCACAATCCCCCCTCCCCAACCATCCCTCCAAACAACCGTTCCCTGTGATAACCTGAATCCCGAGGAAACTTCCAAGCGTTCACCAAAAAACTTCCTCCCCCAAAAAAATTATCAACTGGCTCCTGGCACCCCCGGTACCCCAACACACATGCGGAGCATAACGCGATTATATAAAGTATTTTATTATAGCAAGGGGGTGGGCACGATTCCTTTGCGGTTTAATTATGGCATTTAAAGAGTTTTAAGCACAGGCATAACTTGCATGGATCGCATTGCACGACTAAATTAATTCCGATGCGGTGGCAGCAACACGGGGCTCTTTCATTGCCACCCCAGCCCGGTCACTGGCCAGCCCGGCCAGAGGATTGGGTGTGAGCTGCCTCCACACCAGCTCAGGAAAACACAGAGATTCACCCCAAATCAGGGACCTTTGCCCCCTGCCCTGTCCTGCTCCTGCTGGGGTCCTGCCGGCACTGGGGGAACTGGGGAGAGGGTTTTTTTTGCTGTCATTTTTTAACACAAAATCTCTTTATTTCTGCCCCAACCCCCTGCCTTTTTTTTTTTTTTTTTTCCATTCTCCATCCTATAGATCACTCAATTAAAAATTGACAACAACCCCTTTGCCAAAGGTTTTCGAGACACCGGGAATGGAAGGAGGGAAAAAAGGTGAGTCTGGACAGATTATATATATAGGCGCCTCGTTTGGTTTTCATGTGTAAAGCTCAGAACATGAGCAGAGGTCAAAATCAACTCCCCTGCCCTTCGAACCACACTTCCCACCCCCCCAAAATTCATAAAGATCTTGTCATTAATAACGCCAAACTGATTGCATGGGAATTCTTTCCTGCTTTCCACTTTTATTTTTTACATCGGAGGGGATGGTTGGCCAAAGGGATGGGGGTACATCAAGCAAATGTCACTAGAGAAAGAAGTTTCCCTTAAAATTTTGAGCGGAATGTTACATTATTATGTGTATCTGGGACTGGGAAAGAGGGAGAAGTGAGGGCAGAGCTGATCGCTGATTGAGTTTCCTCCTGGTATTTTCCCAGGGACTGTATCGAAAAGACTAAAATGTGGAGGAGAAACTTATAAATAAACTGTTTTGACAGAGGTGTCTCATGAATATGGAAGTAATTCATGATAGAAGATTCTTTATTTTTTTCCAAATGCAGCAGGACACAGTTTGTGCCCCAGGTAGACAGAGGGACAGAACATTGTTTTAATGGGACTCATGATTTTTATTTTTAATATTGGAGAAAATCGAGAAGGGAGGATTTTTTTTTTTCTTTGATGGGGGATATGGCTTTGCTTTGTTTTGTTACAGGAGACAGGATATTTTAGGCATTTGCATTCAGGTTTAGATATGAATAAATCTGTTCCTCTTTTTTTTTTTAATAAAAAAAAGGGGGGGAGAGAGAATGTAATGTAAAACAAGAGGCCTTTCTCCCTGCTCAGCACTGAGCCCAGCACACACACACACACGCGCGCACACACACACACTCCTCTTGTCCGCCAGTGTGAAAATAAAGCCAACGCTGGAGCCACAGGACGGAAATGATTTCTAATTTCTCTCTAAATATAAATAGATTTTTTACTCCGGGTTAATTGTTGGTGAAAAGATTACATAAAGTGCCTAACAAAATAACCACTTCCTAGCAATCTTAGCAACCATTAAGATGGCTCATATCTCTGGAACATCCTCGCGTTTTAAAAGCTAATCTCCAGGGAATGCTTCCCTCTCCCCTCCGCCCCTTGTCTTTAATATCTGCCCTTGCTGAGGAGCTGCTCACCGCTTCCAAGAAATCTCCTCTCATTAGCGGCCAAGTCCTGCCTGTGAGAAACGCCTTCCCCCCTCGAGGGGACCTTGGCCCTTAATTCCCCTGCCTCAATCATCCCCAAACAGGGACTCACTCGGGAAGGGATGGGGGGTCCCGGGGGGGAGCCCTGGGGGGGGTGTGCTGGGGTCCCCTCGCCCAGCGGGTGCGTGTGCCCGCAGGAAGCAGCTGACCCTGCAGTCCATGCGGGTGTACGACGAGAGGCAGAAGAAGGAAAACCCCACCTCGGACGAGTCGTCCAACGAGCAGACGGCCTTCAAGTGCTTCGCCCAGTCCTCCTGCCCCGCCGTGCCCGCCGTCGGCACCTCCAGCCTCAAAGGTGAGAGCTGCGGCCCCCGGACCCCCCTTGCGGAGAGCCGGGGCGCCTGCTGTGCGGGGGGGACGGATCCCGGCCTGCACCCCTGCCCTCTGGCACCGGTGCTTCCTCCCTCCTTCTTTCTTTCCTTCCTTTATCTTTCCTTCTTTTTGCTGTTCTCTCTCTTTGCTTTCTCCTCTCTCGTTCGTTTCTTTCTCTCTCTTTCTTTCCCCCTCTTTCTCTGTCCTTCCCTCCTTCCCTCCCTTCCCTCCCTTCCTTCCTTTTTCTCTTTTCCTCCTCTCCTGCTTTTTTTTCTCTCTCATTCTCTCTCATTCTCTCTCTCTGCCCTCCTCACTCTCTTCCTCTCCTCCTCTCTCTCTGCCCCCGGCCTCCCTCTCCTCCCGCAGCATGTTCGTTCCTCCCCTCCTTGGTTCAGAAAGGAGCCAGCACCGAGTCAAGGGAGCAAAGACAGACCACGGGGCAAAAGTTCAAAACTGGAGTCACTCCATTAATATTCCTCTCTGAATCTGTTATTAGAGGAAGGATCTTTCCCCTGGATACAGTCCCGAACTTTGTTATAGAAAAGTCACCCTCGATTTCTCTCCGTGCAGGGTTGGGAGCTGTCTGCAGCTCCCTCACATGTATTAATCCATCCAGGGGCGGGGGGGTGGTGGTGTGTGTGCAGGGGGAGGAGGAAACAACCTCTTTTTTTGTTGTTGCTTTACTCGTTTGTTTAAAGTCCTGCCGAGCTGAGGGGAGGGGAGCTGGGAGGGGACCCGAAAAGCAAACCAGAGCTTCGCACCTGGGGCGCTGAAATTAGGAGATGAAGTGCAGAGGAATCCAGCGAAGCCGTGCATGCGTTGGAGGCGGAGGAGGAGGGGGTCCAGGGGGTGATGGAGGCGGGTGTGTGTGTGTGTGTGCACTTCAAAGTTTACCCAGAGAAAAGTTGGAAAAGTTCTTAGGAGACACAGCCCTAAGGCCCTTCAACCCCACTGGGAGGACGCTGCTGTCCCCGCTGTGGCCCGGGGGGTGATGTCCCTGGGGGGAGCGGTCCCTGCCGCCCCGGACAGTCCCGACGGAGTGGAGCCGCTGGCAGGGGGGGTGGGGGTCTCTCCTCCGGCCCCGCT